AACAGTGTAATTTTTTGGCTAGGAAAAGCAAATTTCGGGGGGTGGGAGCCTATGTTTCCATTTTTACAGTGCATTTCTGAGGAACATTGACATTTTAATTATGAAAAAAAAAGGACAGAAATTCTATGGCATGAAGAGAACAGTACTAGCTATGAACTGTGCAGATAAAGGCAAATTGAGATGCCTTACAAGAACCTAGATCCCAATCAGTTCATTACAATGGATTTTCTAATAATGTTAGTTCTCCTTGGATCACTACAAGTAAGAGCATGGTAGAATAGTCTCAAACAACATTTGCTTCTTCTAGTTACTGCATTGTCTCATTCCCCTCCTCCCCCAAGGATTCAGAGGAAACATTCAACAGCCTCCAAACCATCAGCCTTAAGCGTTCAGTTTTTAAGTAAATTCCTTAGGCTGATGCAATAAACAACTAAAGTTACCAACAATAATAATTATAATTTGTTGTTGTACAGATTTAAATACAGAGTGCAGGGCAAAGATCAAGGGAAAAGAGGATTAAGCATAATTAAAACAAGATTTTTAATGAAGATAGTTATAATTAGGGGAAATATCCCTTGACATATTAAAACAGGTAATTGTTGTAGTCCGCCAGCAGCCTGCGGAGCTGTCAGTGGAGTCAGACTGTGAGGAGGCTGGGGAGTAACATGGACCAGTCCTGGAGTCTGGGGAAGACTTTTTTTTTTAATTTGATTTATATGCCGCCCTTCTCCAGAGACTCAGGGCGGCTTACAATGCGTTAAGCAATAGCCTTCGTACTTCTGTATATTTATACAAAGTCAGCTTATTGCCCCCACAATCTGGGTCCTCATTTTACCTACCTTAGAAAGGATGGAAGGCTGAGTCAACCTTGAGCCTGGTGAGATTCGAACTTACAGTAATTGCAGACAGCTGGTGTTAATCACAATGCTTTTAGTCTGCTGAGCCACCAGGCCCTTGGACGAGGACTCTGTGTCAGTGGCAGAGATGGGGCCAGGGCCGTCTGGGAGTTATGTGCAGATTCCGGAGCCTCCAGAGTCGGACATCAGAGAGGCAGAGGAACAGGAGGAGCCTGTTCTTAGTGTGCGCATGCGCAGAACTGCCAGAAAGCAGGAACAGTTAAAACTAAAGGGATGACTCGGGAGTAGGGCTTGAAGATGATTGGCCCTTCCCATAAGGCTTAAAAGAGAAGCAAAGGCACATGGGCCCTTTGCAGAAAAGCAACGTTGTTAATTCTGTTCCCAGTCGACATCTCTGTTTGATTCTGGACTCCTTGTGGCTTTGCCAAGTAGGTCTTTGGCAGAGTGTCAAGGGAGATAAAGGTTGGTGATTATCCTGAAGGACTTCTCCCGAAGGACTTTTTGCAACTAATTGGGACTCAGCTGTGAATGAACGTAATTCACAGCTGTTGCAATAAAAGAGGTTTTTGGGACTACTCATGTGTTTTAATGACTCAGGAAGCCTAGGTCACAGCAGTAATAATAATATACTAGAAAAAATGTTTTCTTTTTTTTAAAAAAGCAGATCATTCTTCATGATCAAAAGCAGATCATTGGGCTGTCCCCCTTTCCATGCCAACACACTCCTACTTTCAATTTTTGGAATTTGGGAGATTGAACTAGATAATTAAACAGACAGGCAGATAGAGAGACAGGCGGACAGATTTCTGTCAGTATAGTTTGATGTAATCTTGGGCATTAAGACAGATTGTGGAATAAATCCATGAAGGGTATAAAATCTCTGGATAGCATATGTATTAGTTCACCCTGGTTGATCCTCCCTTCCCTTCCCTTCCCTTCCCTTCCCTTCCCTTCCCTTCCCTTCCCTTCCCTTCCCTTCCCTTCCATTCTATTCTTCGTTGTGTTTCTAGGTCATCTAAAGTTACTTTTGCAAACTGAGCAATTATATCAATCTAAATTATAAGAATAATGCTGCCAAAAACCTAACCAAACCATCCATGAGAATTGGCTACCCAGCCTTTTTTAAAACGATAAAGATGTAAGGTAGAAGGGGGAAGCTAGATCCAGTTCGCCATATGAATAAAATTCCAAGAGCTGTGAGAATATTTTTTCTTCTTTTGATGGCTCAGCTCCACTGATGAAATATAATCAGCTAAGCAACACATGGAGGATAAAAATAAAACCTACAACCTAATAAACATTGATGTAAGGAGAAAAGCATCAAAATGGAAAGGTAAGGTCTCTCTCTCTCTCTCTCTCTCTTTTTTTTTTAGGACTTCCAAGTGTCCTTGTAAAATGCTTCCTTCCCTTTCTATGGCTTTCTAATTTACACCTATTTGTTCATCCTCCAAGCATGGGGAAGGATCAAATCTTATCCAAGGAGGAGAGAACCTTTTAATCAAATTGGTTTGGCACTGAAACTACAATTTTCTCGCAGATCATTAATGACCAATATTTGGGTGGGAAGTGTGGTGTGTTCTACCAAAACCAAACAGATTTAATGACTGTGTGCAATCTGCAAATAGATTCATGTGGGCAGAATTGTGTAAAAGATGAGGGAAAGATTAACTAACTAAAACCTAGCATTTTGTTCTCCAATTAGCACCCGTCAATTAAAGTTCAGTTAACCCACACTTTACGATGGATTATCCCAACAGTCAACGTGAATTCTTAAGAAGTAGTCCAAGGATCATTATTTGTTGTTTTTATGCTAAAAGCCAGGATGAAAAATGCTGCAGAGTGGCAGTACTCAGAATTCACTAGGGCCTCTTGAAGAGTTCACTCTTTTTGGGGGGGGGGGGAAATCCTTCTAAAAAAAAAATACTTAACCTCTTTTTCAAAGTATGAATTTGTATTGGAAATATAAAATCACTGCTATGCCTTCAGAAATCCAGAAATGCTGCAGAAATTTTCCTGAAGCTGATTGTAGAGTGCATTCTTTAACCTCAAGAGTAAAAGCACTCAAGCACTCGTCACTTCTCGTCTGGACTATTGTAACGCTCTCTACATGGGGCTCCCCTTGGGGTACACCCGGAGGCTCCAACTGGTGCAGAATGCGGCCGCGCGGGGGATTATGGGAGCGACTGGGCGCTCCCATGTGACTCCTCTCCTGTGCGAGCTGCATTGGCTTCCGGTGGACTTCCGGGTGCGCTTCAAGGTGTTGGTGATCACCTTTAAAGCGCTCCATGGCTTAGGGCCAGGGTACTTACAGGACCGCCTTCTGCCACCAATAGCCTCCCACCGGCCAGTTCGCTCCCACAGAGAGGGCCTCCTCAGGGTGCCGTCGGCTAGACAATGCTGGCTGGCGACCCCCAGGAGGAGAGCCTTCTCTGTGGTGGCACCTACCCTTTGGAACAATCTACCCCCAGAGATACGAGTGATCTCCGACCTCCGGACCTTTCGTCAGGCCCTAAAAACTCATCTCTTTCAGTTAGCCGGTCTCTCTTGATTTTATGATTTTATGGTTGGTTTTAAATTTTGATATGGATTTTAAATTGATAAATTTTAAACTATGGGCCAAATTTAATTATTTTAAATCTATTTTTAATCGTATTTATGTATAAATGTTTTTATTTTGGCTGTTCACCGCCCTGAGTCCGAAAGGAGAAGGGCGGTATAGAAATTCGAATAATAAATAAATAAATAAATAAATAAATAAATAAATAAATAAATAAATAAATAAATAAATAATAAATAAATAAAACAGGTTTTGTAAAACTACCAACTATGGAGCATCCAAAGACTAACAGACCTGATTCACATCTCACGTTCAGCCATTATGTGATTTTGTTTGATCAGGGTGTTGTGATTTATAAGCCATAATTCAGGCACAGGACATGTGTATATTCAGTCAATTGGGTCTACTGATCACTATCTTTATTTATTTATTATTTATTTATTTCATGTATTTATATGCCGCCCTTCTCCAGAAGGACTCAGGGCGGCGAACACAAGTTAAAAACATGTACAACAAAATCCCATTTTAAACCAAATTAACTAATAAATAATAAATAATAAAACCCAGAATCAGAGTCAGCCTATTTGCTTGAATAGCCAAGTCTTCACTATCACTATCACATCACTATCTTTAGTTTTATTCTTCCAAGCCATTTAATAACATGCCAATGTTGCTGTGATGTGATTTAATGATTTTATTTTGCTTTTGATGGACTATTTAAATGTATATTTTATCAATTGTCTTTACTTACTGTTTTAACTATTTCAATTTTATTCCGTTGTCGAGATTTTTTTAGGTGGGAAGCAGTATTCAAATATTGTGTTTGTATGTGTGTGTTTGTGTGTGTGTGTGATATACACATACAACGAGTCAGTGTTGATTCCTGGTGACTGCCTGGATTATTCCCTGTTGGCAAGTGATTTTCCATTGTCCCATTCCTAGGGCTGAGAGACAGTGACTGGTCCAAGGTCACCCAGTTGGCTTTGTGCCTAAGGCAGAATTACAATTCTTAGTCTCCTGATTTCTAACCTTCACCACCACACCAAACTGGCTCTCAAGTAAAAAATTAATAAATGACCTACTTAACCTAGTTAAATTTATTTGTTAAATTTGTATGCTACCTGACTCCTGGTGGCTCTTGGTAACTAGAGATCTTGTTGTTTTCCACTGGGACCAATTTGCAAGGTGTCAGCTCCAGTGTGCTGTCGGCATGGAGCTGCCATTCTTAGGGGGGAGGAACGCACAAACCTTGTTTCAGCCCAGTATCTGCTTCGTCGAGCCTCCCAGGAACTGATAGGATTTAGCTGGGGGATGACATCATCATGGCCAGCCGGAAATAACAAGGGAATTAACTGTTTAGATGCTGGTTGTAAATACTCAAATGAATTAACTGTTTAGATGCTGGTTGTAAATACTCAAGAATTAAACATAAGCTAATTTCCGGGTCACATGGGAGGGAGCAGCACATGTGATTGGTTGGGTGGTGATAACTAATGATAAATGGTGGTGGGAAGCACAGGGCCGTAGCCCTAACAAGATTTTCATCTGTGATTGTCAGTGGGTGCCAAGAAGTGATTAAACTAAGGTAGCAGCCATCCAGGTTTGTCTCCTTTTATTTCCTTCTCTTTGGAACCTGACAGAAGGCTTGCCTCCAAATATAGGCCTAACGGATCCTTTCACGGGAAATGGTACTACCAGCAAAGGGAAAGTTGGAGGTTTTCTTCTCCAGCCTGTTCAAACCCTTCTTTTGTGTTCCAGCAAACATCGAGACTTCAAAAAACAGCTGCAGGCAGAAAAGGAAAGTTTACAAGGTTATCATATGGGCAAGGAGCCCAGGTGAAGTACTTGAGTCCCAACTTTTAATGCACTGTAGATCGATTAGTACAAAACAGAACTGTTGAGGTAGATAAAGCTGTTTTTTTGTTGCAGGCGCTGCTACCACCGTGGTTTCTACTCTCCCCAAATAAAAGGAAGAGAGAAGCTGTGGTCCATATCTTGGTTCAATCTTGCCAAGATGAACAACTGGTGGCCAATCACCAAAAAGAGCATCCAACCTTGTCACAATAAACACTGGAGCATGGATAACAGCAAGTAACTATTGGCACAAACTTCACTGGATTTCAACTGAGCTGTCCCACCTGATCTTCAGTGACCGTTTCCAAAGGAGCAGGATGAAGGATCTTATGCCCTAGTCCAGTGTTTCCCAAACTTGACCCTTTGAAGATGTATGGACTTCAACTCCCAGAATTCCTCAGCCAGGCATACTGGTTGGGGAATTCTGGGAATTGAAGTCCATGCATCTTAAAATAGCCAAGTTTGGGAAACACTGCCCTAGTACCACCTAATTAATTAACCCAAATGATTGAATACACAACTTTAGACTTCCTAATTTCAATCCAGATTACCTATCCCAGGAGTCTGCAACCGAAAACACTCAAAGAGCCATTTGGACCCGTTTCCCACAGAAAAGAAAACACCGGGAGCCACAAAACCCTTCCCGTGTCTGACTATTTCTTGAGTGGCCACAAAACTAGCATACGTAGTCAAATTAAATGTTCTGTTTTCTTCTGACACTTTTCTTTTCTTGGATTTATTCATGGTTGGCCTACCGGGGGTTGAAAAGCTAAATAAATTGCATGCCGGCAGATGTCGCACATTGGCAGTTGTGATGATTTTGAGTGACAGGGAGCCGCAGCAGAGGGATGAAAGAGCCACCTGTGGCTCCAGAGCCACAGGTTGCTGACTCCTGACCTATCCAGTTTCTATAAGACCCCAAACACTTTTAAGTGATAAAGATGGTGCCTTATTTTCACATGCTTATGTTTCCTAAACAAAATGGGACTTCCAAAAGGCATTCTGTGATGTCTTTAGCACTGCAATGCAGGGCTGGTACCACAAAGCTCCCATAACTGTTGCTTGTGCTTTTGTGGTTAAGAAGAAATCAAAACTATTGCACATGTGTTTTGACAATTTTGAATCAAAAATTAATCTCTCCTTTTTAAATAATAATAGGGCAATTATCATGTAGCTGTCAGGGTGAAAGATCAGGATCACACCAGGGGTGAAATCCAGCAGGTTCTGACAGGTCCTGGAGAACCGGTAGCGGAAATTTTGAATAGTTCAGAGAACCGGCAAATAGCATCTCTGGCTGGCCCCAGAGTGGGGTGGGAATGGAGATTTTACAATATCCTTCCCCTGCCATGCCCACCAAGCCACACCCACCAAGCCATGCCATGCCCACCAAGCCACACCCACCAAGCCATGCCATGCCCACCAAGCCACACCCACAGAACAGGTAGTAAAAAAAAATTGGATTTCACCACTGGATCACGCATATATTCCAGTTCAGAAGATTTGCTGCTGAAGCCTATAAATAAGAATCTAATCAACTAACATACAATACTCAGTTGGGGCAGATAAGGATCAGCGGAATTCAGGAGGGGTTGGACTTAGACCATGTGTGGGTACATAACTCTAGGCTGATGACTCACTTAACTCTGCCTCCCCCAGCTCTGCCTGCTCTCCTACAGTAGCCTTCTCTTCCCCAACATGAATTTTCAGGCCACTTATAATGTTGCCAAGTTCTGAATGTGGCAGATGATGCATCGTGAAAACTAAATTCCTTTTACATTAATTTTTGACTTTCCTTTCATATTTGTTTCTGTGTTGTTTACGTTTACTGGTCTGTGATGCCCAAGGTTACAATTAAGGATTAAAAGCAATCCCAAGCCAGAGGTGGGTTTCAGCAGGTTCTGACCAGTTCTGAAGAACCGGTAGCAGAAACTTTGAATAGTTCGGAGAACCGATAGTAAAAATTCTGACTGGCCCCGCCCCCATCTATTCTCTGTCTCCCAAGTCCCAGCTGATTGGGAAGAAATGGGGATTTTGCAGTATCCTTCCCCTGGATTGGGGAGGGAATGGAGATTTTACATTATCCTTCCTGTGCCATGCCCACCAAGCCACACCCACAGAACCGGTAGTAAGAAATTTTGAAACCCACCACTGTCCCAAGCATGATTATTCATCTCTGAAGAAACACGTTTTAGATGGGGTGATTGTATCTCAGAAAGGGGTCATTCCACAGGAACAGGATCAGCTTCCAGGCTCTACCTCCACTTAACCTGTTGCAATTTTAAGTGCTTTAATACAAACACTGAATAAAAGTATATCTGGCTATTTAGCCAGACTCCTGCTACCCCATCACCACCCAAGAGTCTCGTTGGAGCTATAAAGTGGGGACATGCAAACATTTCAAATACAATATACAACGGAGTCCTCAATTTGACACTATTTGAAAATCACATCATCACCCAGATATATATAACTATCCCACTTCAAATTTCAACTATCTCGCCTCTTATTTCAAAAGGCATAAATCCAAATCACTAAGTAAGAAAGAAAGAATGGTAATCAAATGCTACACTTACAATAAGCAAGCAATAACAAGAAAACTGTCTCTACTGTGTAGAATTCTGAACAGCTCAAAATGTCAAAATATTTCACTTCTGTCCTGTTTCTGCTTTTGATGGTCTTCTTGCCCATTTCTCAGATCAGAGGTTGGCCACAGTAAAGCTTCTTTACTCTCTACTGTCTTTAATGGTGAGTAAAGCAATAGTTATGTTACCGCTGCCAAGTGTGCAGGCCATCTTCGGGTGGCTTTAGTGTCGTAAGTCATATCAAGATTATGAAAGAAACCGGGTATGAATATTTTAAATAAAAGAAGAAAATTAGTCCAGTGTCTGGAGCCTACATCTGCACTTGAAGCAAATGATTCTTTTTCATCCATGTCTGCAAGCAACTCTCCCTCTATTTTCTAGCTGAATTGGCAAATGCTATTAAACTTCACTGCTTTTCCAGCCCTAAAAATCAATTAGTTAGTATATTAAGCCACACTAGCTGGGAGCTCATTTAAGCAATAAAAATCTTTTTTGTGTGTGTGTAGCTTAACAAAGTAGTAGCAGTACTTGAAGAAATACATGTGGTGGGGGCTGGAGTCCTTTGGTCTCCTGGGAGTCGTTTTAATCTGAAATCGTAATGAAAAGGGGGGACAGGAAGGGAAGGGGGCAATTAGGCTATCTGTTTGAACGTTTATTAAAGTTAGATGCTACAATGACAATGGCTAACTGAAGTACAAGTGTCCACATTCTCAGCCAACACATCTTCGTTTCCAAGAAGGAAACTCTGAAGAGCCATTTGTCCTTTAGTTTAGTCATTCAAAAGACCCTGTCATATTTTCAGAAACTGCAGGAAGGGTAACCAGAGAATGAGCAAGGCCCGCTCACCCAAGCAACACAAGAAGCTGCTTTAATTAATAAAAGGATTAATGACCAGAAAACAAAGTTGACTTGCCAACCAATTTCAGGAAATGTAGAAGAACAGCAATAATGTCTCATCCTATCCCCCACCAAGTATGCTGCTGTTCTTTGCACATCAGCCAGGAACAATATGTGATGATAGAGAAAGCTATACATTCTGATTGTGGTGATGAATTCCAGACTGGAGTGTTTCCCAAACTGCATCCAATTTCAGCTGGAATTGTCCAGGTTGATCCAAACTGGATGTGCGTCAACTTTAGTCCTTATTGTAAAGGACTAAAAGGACAAATTAAACATATTCACATGCAGAGAGATACCGTTCCACAGGTAACCCATCTTTATCAGGGGTGAAATTCAGCAGGTTCTGACGAACCGGTAGAGAAAATTTTGAGTTGTTCGGAGAACTGGCAAATACTACCTCTGGCTGGGTGGGAATGGAGATTTTGCAGTATCCTTCCCCTGCCATGCCTACCAGCCATGCCTACCAGCCATGCCCACCAAGCCACACCACGGCCACCACGCCACACCCACAGAACAGGTAGTAAAAAAAAAATTAGATTTCACCACTGATCTTTGTACGGTCAAATCTCTCTCTCATTGCTCGAGGCAATTGATGCCACCATCTTTTTACACAGAGGAGGACTATGTTCGATAAGCTTATCTCATGTAACTAATAGAATCATGCATTTTTTAGAAGGGAACGAGAACATTTTCCAGTTTTCTGGTGAACAGGTCTTTCAAGGCTTCAGTTGTCTCCTAGCTGTCACTTTGGACAAAATTATTCCAAGATAGCTTTTCCCCATTTGCCAATCCAAAATACTTCCTTGGTTTATTAAGAAAATCCGGGGGGGGGGGGAAGATAAAATAGATGCCACAAAGCACTGTTCGCAGAAAATGAGGTAAAAATCTGACTGAGTACATGTTTGAACTTATACTGTGGTGAAAAGAGTAGTGAAATGTCAACATTTTCCCACTAGCATTGCATCTATTGATTACTGGTGAATGAACATGTTTCAAGAGACCTGGACCACTGTTAGGAACAGCCTTGGTACTAGGAGGATAAAAATGCTTGGATCCACTTGCATATCCACTTGGGCAACTTGTAGAGATGACTGAGTCATCAGCTTCTAATTAAACCTAAATCAAATGAGCCTGAGCTGGTTACTCCTGAGGAAACTAGATTGAATTTTCTGTGATATCTGCTCAGCCATTGTCAGTCCTTCAGGGTTTACCAGATTAAGAAATAGACTCCACAGGAAGATGAGAACTCTACTTTATTGAGATTGTCTATAATAACTGAATTTTTGCAAGCCTAATTGGCATATTTCCCTCAGGGTCATTTCACTGATTCTCTACAGCCATCTGCAGTCCAGGTCCCAGCACCACAGATTGGTGAAAACCTCCAGAGAAGTGACAATAAATTGAATACATTCTGGCTGAGAGAATAGTGCCATCTGTCTTGGAGGAACAAAGATGTACCTCCTCTTCAATAAACCATTACTTAACCCAGCAATACTGGATAATGAACAACCTGTTTCCAAAGTCTCCTTTTGGGTAAGGTTTGTAGAGAAGGTCCCAGGGAGAAATCCTACCAGTTCAGATCGATTCAGGCAAACTGCTAGGGATTATTGGCATCAGCTCGCTGAACCGGTAGTAATCACCCCTCATTGGCCCCAGCCACGCCTAGCTGTTCGCCTCTCACCTTTTCCGGCTGCGCAATATTCCACAGAATTCACTGTTAAATGCAACAGAGAGAATGCTAACTTTTCTCCTTCCATTCACAAAGGAGCTGCTGCAGCCTGTCCCTTTTAAGGTAATCCCCAGGAAGGAGGGGGCCGGGAGGGAACCCTAAAGGGAGCAACAGCTCCGTTCTGAATGGAGGGAGAAAAGTTAGCATTCTCTCTGCCACAGAATTCAATGTTAAATGCAGCAGACAAAATCCTAACTTTTCTCCCTCCATTCACAAAGGAGTTGCTGCAGCCTGTCCCTTTTAAGGTAGTCCCCAGGAGCGAGATATATGGGTGTGGGGGGTGGTGAGAGTAGCTGGAATGGAGTTTTCGTGAAAGGCAGGAAAATGGGGAAGGGGATTTTCCTGCCTGTCATCCATTCCTCAATCTCAGCACAGACTGAGGGAAGGATGGTAGGCAGGAATATTCCTCTCCCCATTTTCCTGCCATTCGCGATAAGGAGTGGCTGGGAGGGGAGGGGCCGGTGAGGAGCCCCTCGATGTGAGTGATGTTGAGTTGGCCACGCCCGCCCAGTCACATGACCTCCCCCCAACAAGCCACGCCCACAGAACCAGTAGGGTTTTTTTTTAAATTTCACCAGTGGAAGGTACTGTAATGGACTACAGTGACCTGGCAGTTTCTCAGGAAGAAGGAAGAATATTCCAGAAAAGGGAGCAAGTCAAGAGGCAACACAGCCTAGATCTTGGGTGTGAATTATATATAACCTTGTTATTGCTATGTATGTAGCATATAACTTTATTTATGAAAATAGGATGCATAAACCAATCAAAGCCAGTATTAATTCAAGCACAGTATAAATCCAGTAGCTCCACAAAGTACACCAAAATCTGATTAGAATTTGGCATTCTAACAATATTTCTGTGATTTCTGTACTGAAATGTTAATGAAAATTCTGCTTGCTGTTTGATATTCCAATGAATGAACTGGAGTCCCTGAACACCGTGTTGATGACTTCTGCCCCACTGAATTGTTTACATGTTCAAATCAATATCCAACTATTCTCAGTGCAGCTTTAAAAAAAAGTGTAAGGAAACAATCCATAAAAGAACAGACGCCACAGATGTCAAAAACAGGGCAGCAATATAGTGAATGGTTTCATACTGAATGAGATCGCTGGAGTCAAAGGCTCCATGGTACCTACACCAAGAGGGACAACAATGTCCAGCAACCCTTGCCATCATCATTCTACAAGGTAGGAATGACCTTGGGAAACAGGAAGAAGAACCACAGCATAGACAACGGATAAACAAAAACTGAGCCCAAAGGAGGGATGGAGGTGGAGAAAATGTCTGAGAAGGGACCTTTCTTAGTTTTTGGAAAGTAAAAGTAAGGGAGGGGAGAGGTACGTTCAGATTTGCAAGATTAGTAGCAGAATTCTGGGAGTTGAAGTCCACAAGTCTTAAAGCTACCAAGTTTGAAGACCTTGTTTTAGAGAATAAAGATAAGAAAGGGTCATATATTGGTTTCCATATCAAAGGGGAAAATGATATGCACTGCTCAATAAGATAACTGTTCTTTCTTATGGATTATTCACTACTAATAAAGGTGATGTTACTCCTCGTGGTTGGTACTTTTTGTCAGGACTACCTCAAAGTGTTGGCATGTTCTTACTGTCTACTGCTACTACCACTTAGAAAGAACAAAGCTAGGAGGCATAGACTCTTGTAATGCTTGAAATGTATCATAAGGTAATGTTGACCATGGATAGGCACATGGCTACATGGACTGCTGCTCGACTGAAGGAGGCTTCAGTGAAAAGTACCACCCTTTTCCATTTTGTTCTTAACAAGAACTAGAACAGATGTGGGTGAGTTTGTCACATCCAGGCTATCAAAGACAAGAGTTTAACTTTGGCATTTGCATTCTTTCAAAATCCCAGGCAATAGTGGTGTGATTGGTAGCAATAGCCAGCAGCCAATTCAATCTAAGGAAAGGATGACTGGAAGGGAGAAAGCTTTATCATGCTAACGTAAATAGCTGTAGCTTGTCTTCTGACTACATATAGTTAAGCTAAAAAGAAAATGTGAAATCTTTGCTAAAGCCATAAAAACAACATCAATATCTGCTATCCAAATTCAGTAGCAATGGAATTTACATGTTAAAATGCTGTTTCCTCTAATCTCCTAAATAGTATTTTTTCAGTCTTGAGATTGCTACAGAAAAATATAATCTTGAGTTTTCTCCCATGCTGATCATATTAATAATGTGTGTAAAGTTATTTATGTAACTGGTATATACTCTGCCTGCAACTAACAAATGACACTCAATCTGATACAGTCACATTGTGGTTTTTTCCCTGCCCTACCTCCACTTCTCTATTAGTGTCTTGCAGAAGTTCAGATATGCTGCTATTGTCAACAGCTATGTGCCGAAGGTAATTTGTCATTCTGTTCCTCCTTTCAAGCAAGAGAATCAAAGATACAACCCCTCTGAGTGAAGAGAGAAAAGGGTTTTGAATAGAGCACTGCTCTAAGATTTTGTCTCTATGAGTCATCACAGCCAAGATGCGGTCCAGTCTTAAAGTGAACGCTGCCACACCGAAGAGTGAACATTCCAGTAGCATCTCATTAGCCCCAGCTTGATGATGTTCCATCCAGCAATGAAGATGATTGAACACCATAGGGAGTTCATTCATCCCAGGGCTGTCTAGGAGACACCATCCCAAGATAGGATACACAATTGACTATGCCAAAAGGGTGAGCTGAGCCATGAATCATAATCAAATGAGAAGGAAATGGAGTTTGACTGGGAAAGACCCCACACATGATGATGCTAGAAGGAAAAGCGCTTGATGAGCCATTGGACCAAGATAACTGTCTCTGCAGCAGGACTGTTTGTCTGCCTGTCTGTTTGCCTATCTAGTCACTTACGTTTCCAATCAAAACCTGATTCTCAGAACCATATGCATTTATGCCTGTGAAATAGATCTGGGCCAAATTCATCCCTCACGATCTTCTAATCTAGAGCTATATCCAAAATTCAGAAGCAATTAACTGGTTCTTCCCCTTTGAGTGATAAAACACTAAGATTCTGAAATATCCAGCACAGATGTTTTGTATTTTAAAATTTCAACACTCAAAAATGAAGAATTTTTAGAATTCCTTCCTGCCCACTCCAGTGACATCACTGTTGGTAACTCCCCCACCCCCAAACATCTTAGAGCAGAGGTCCTCAAACTTGGCAGCTTTAAGACTTGTGGACTTCAACTCCCAGAATTCAACTCCCAGAATTCATAGCTGGCTGGAAAATTCTGGGAGTTGAAGTCCACAAGTCTTAAAGCTGCCGAGTTTGAAGACCTCTGTCTCAGAGAATAAAGATAAGGTCATATATATTGGTTTCCAGATCAAAGGGGGAAAAAATGACACCCACTGCTCAATAAGATAATTGTTCTTTCTTATGGAAAGAAAAAGAAAAGGATAAGCAATTACCTGAGTCCATCTTGTTGATGGCTTGATTTATTTTGGGGTTTTATGTCCTGTCTTTCCACTACTCAGAGCAGCTAACAATATAATGAAAACATGATTAAAGATATAATTAAGGGACTTTAAAAAAAGACTTCGGAAACCAACTCAAAGAAACAGTGTTACTTCACACATTGTCCTATAAGCGGCTTTTGTTAGGTAAATTCCCGTTTTTGCAAGCTGAGTAGGACTCCTGGAGACATATGTAGCAGTAGTGAGTTGCAAAACCCATCGCTACCAGTTCGTTCGTGTGCACACATGCTTGTGCGCGCACTGCTTCTGCGCATGCACAGAAGCATCTGGCGTGGGTGTGCGGAGCCTCCTGCCGCCACCGCTACTGGTTTGCCGATCCGGGTAGAACCGGTAGCAACTGAACCACTGATATGTAGGTATATAGGTAGTCCTCCACTTATAACCACAATGGGGCTAGAATTTCCATTATTAAGTAAGGAATAAGGAAGGTTAAGTGAGTTGGTCCCAATTTTACAACATTTGTGTCACTGTTGTTAGACAAATCACAGTCATTAAGCAAATCTAGCTTCTCCCACTGACTTTTGTTTGTCGAAAGCCAGCTGGGGAGGTCACAAATGATGATCACCTGAATCCAGATGCTGCAATTGTTATAAATACATGCCAGTTTCCACATTTTGATCACATGACCATAGGAATGCTGCAACAGTTGTAAGTGTGAGAATCGGTTTTAAGTCACTTTTTCAGTGGTGTTGTAACTTTGAACAGTTACTAAATCAATGGTTGTAGGTTGAGGACTATCTATATTCATGAGAGAGTAGGAGGGAGGGAGGAAGAGAGAAAGAGGAGAGGAGGGGAGGGGAGGGGAGGGGAGGGGAGGGGAGAGGAGAGGAGAGGAGAGGAGAGGAGAGGAGATTGATTTCTGGTCTGCAGCCCTCAATTTCCCAGGGTCCTATTCAAATACTAATTGGGACACATCTTAAGCAGCCATCTAAAAAAATCATTTTTCACATTCTCACCAGACCTGTCACTGAGGATAATGAAAGAAAGTCTTTCTTAAATATCCCACTCTGTTAATCTGGGCACAGTGACAGAGCACATGCAGCCAAGCATCTAAAGGTGTAAATTATAATCCCCACCCCCAGCCTTTAGTTAACTATTGTACAGTAATTTCTCTACAATTATCATCAACAACAGCAATAACAATTATAATGGCAATACCACCATTCCAATTCCTGTGCTGGGGAATGTCTTTTATATTTATAGGGATTTGGGGAAATCAATCTCTCTCACGGGCCAATTGAAAAATTGGCATCGTGGAATTCGCAATATATAAAGCAATTGCTTTTTTATTATTTAGGTCAGTACTGAATAGTTTCTTTGCTTAATAGATATGAAACAATACACACATTAGTTAAAACAATATTGAACTTCAATGCTTATAAAATAATATGAAAGAGAAAATCCTTCAGTTTGATGAAACTATTAAAAATAAGGTCTTATGGTAATGGAATATAGGTAGCCCTTGACTTAATACCACAATTAGGATGGGATTTCCTTTGTAAATCATTGCTGAAATCATATTTTCTGCAATCGACTTTGGAGCGGTTTACCTTGAGTTTATATCTATTATTTGTTCGTGTATTGTTGTGGTTGAAGCTGAAGTAGTCATTGACAGGTAGGACACTGTGGCAAATAATTGTATGTACTATGCTTAGGTCAGACTGAAGTCGTTCTAAATTGTCTAAGCCCAAAATATGGAGTCTGGTGGCATAAGGTATTTTATTGCGGTTAGAGGAATGGAGGACTCTTCTCGTAAAATATCTCTGGACTCTCTCAGTTGTATTTATGTCTGATATGCAGTGCGGGTTCCAGACAGATGAGCTGTATTCGAGAATTGGTCTAGCAAATGTTTTGTATGCTCTAGTTAATAGTACAATATTACCAGAGAAGAAGCTACGCAAGATTAGAATAACAACTCTTAATGCCTTTTTGGCAATGTTATTACAGTGGGCTGTAGCACTTAGATCTTAAAAAATGAGTACTCCAAGGTCCTTGACAGAGTGAGGGTCATCTACAAGGTCATGTATTTGTCTAATTTGTATTTTTTGTTTTGATTTTTTTTTGCCAATGTGCAAGATAGAGAATTTGTTGGTTAAGAACTACTTGTATTAGTAATTTAACAGAACATAACTGTTTACATTGTCACCACAGAAAACAGATCCTCAACAACTATGACTCATCATTCATTCCATCAATGAAGATGGAAAAATACCAGTTTGTATCATTCACTTCTATTTCAGGATTCTCCCTAAATTCCCCCTCCCACTAAAACAAAACCTCCCAACATCCAATGTCCTGTAAGCAAGTCTAGAGTAACAACTTCAATTTTATCATTCATGGAAACCTTTCAAAACAACCATCCATAACCTGCAGCCCTCCAAATGCCCTGAACCATTTTCCTGACTTGTAAAATTGTGCTAACTATGGATTCTGGAAATTGAAATTTAAAACACCTGCAGGGCACCAAGCCAGAAAAGAGTACTTTGAGTGATGGGTTGGATGCACATTCTAATACTGGAATCAGTCCACAATGAATTGCAAAAGTCCTTGTAATGGCAGGAGACTTGCTACAACCTTTTTCAATGGTTTTCAACCTTTTTAACCTTCTCTTTATTTTTCCCTTGTCAGACATTTTTATTGGCGGGAGGGGAAGGGGATTTCTCTATATTTATCTCAGCAACAAGATTCTTTTCAAGGCTGTTTTGCTGATATGCACAGGTGCTTCTACCTATTCTACCTATTCTACTGCCTACAATACTGATACACAGCAGTTTCCAGGATCACTTTGGAAACATTATTGGAGAGGCTAGAACCCTACATTTCAAATCAAAACAACTTTGGGGGCACTTCTGCATTGCGCTCATTTGGTTTAGACATACCATAGATGCTTTGTGTGCAGCCCACACATTGCTCTTTCTGTGCTTTTCTTGGTAGGAACCCAATGCTTGTTTTAAACATTATTTTGAGCTGCAGTTGGCGCTGGCAAAGATACTTTACAAGAAGAGTCCTCCACTCCTCTGCTCGCAACAGAATACCTTATGCCAGCAGACTTGAAATTTTGGGCTTAGACAATTTAAGAACTATGCCACCTTCGGACTGACCTAAGCATAGTACATAAAATTATCTGCTATAATGTCCTACCTGTCAATGACTACTTCAGCTTCAATCACAACAATACACGAGCACACAATAGATACAAACTTAAGGTAAACCACTCCAAACTCGATTGCAGAAAATATGACTTCAGCAACAGAGTGGTCAATGCCTGGAATGCACTACCTGACTCTGTGGTTTCTTCCCCAAACCCCCACAACTTTAACCTTAGACTGTCTACTGTCGACCTCACCCCATTCCTAAGAGGTCTGTAAGAGGGCGTGCATAAGCAAATCAGCGTGCCTGCCGTCCCGGTCCTAATGTCCCCATTTATTCGTATCCATTTCATGTATTCAAATCATGTTTATAGTTATATATGTTATCTAATACATGCTTGACTAAATAAATAAAATGAACTTACTTTAGAAAAGGTGTATAAAAGTTTGCAGCCAGTCTGGAGCAGGTGGGCCCATTTAGACATTTTATGGAATCTCCTAGGCACATGAACAGTTTGCTCATTGACAAAATAGTTACGAAGTGTGATAAATCACAAAAGTTACTTACCAAAAAGCTACATAACAAGGTCTATTCTTTTCATCCTTTCTTTACCCCTTCATCAGCCAACACATCATTTCCCATACTCCCCAGAGTGAACAGACACACTTCCAAGCAAAGTGTTTGCTATATTCAGCCACTGTGTTTATTTTCTAAGAATACTTGGGGTCTAGAAGCATTTTTTTTTTTTTTTGCAGCATGACCATATCCAGCTTGTTTTAATCAAAACAATCAAAATTGTGTAAGGAAGAAAGCCCAGGGAACAGAGCAAGGGGAAATGTAGTGGACCCATTTCTGCCTTCAGTCACCTACTAATCCCTACTTTCCCTACTAATCATGTTGCTGCATCAATGAATGGAATGGAATGGAATGGAATGGAATGGAATGGAATAGAATAGAATAGAATAGAATAGAATAGAATAGAATAGAATAGAATAGAATAGAATAGAATAGAATATGAACGGAACGGAACGGAACGGAACGGAACGGAACGGAACAGAACAGAACAGAACAGAACAGAACAGAATAGAATTCTTTATTGGCCAAGTGTGATTGGACACACAAGGAATTTGTCTTTGGTGTATATGCTCTGAGTGTACATAAGGGGAATAAAATACATTCATCAAGAATAAAAAGATACAACACTTAGTGATAATCAAGGTTACTAATAAGCTATCAAATCGTACTAGGAAACTAATAAAAACAATATACATTGAAAGACATAAGAAACATGGTTATAGTCATAAGTGGGAAGAGACAGATACTAGTAAGGAAGAGAAGAATAATAGTAATACATTCTTAGTAAATTATTTGACAGTGTTGTGGGAATTAGTTGTTAAGGAGAGTGATGGCATTTGGGAAAAAACTGTTCTTGTGTCTAGTTGTTTTGGTGTGCAGTGCCTTATAGAGTAGTTTTGAGGGTAGAAGTTGAAACAATTTATGTCCAGGATGTGAGGGTCTATAGAAATTTTCACAGCCCTCTTTTTGACTTGTGCAGTATACAGGTCCTCAATGGAAGGCAGGTTGGTAGCAATTGTATTTTCTACAGTTCTAATGATCCTCTGAAGTCTGTGTCTGTCTTGTTGGGTTGCAGAGCCAAACCAGACCGTTATGGAGGTGCAGATCAGTGGTGGGTTGCTCCCGGTTCGCACCGGTTCTATAAAACCAGCAGGAGGCTCTGCCCATCAACACCAATGTCATCAAAATGCTTCTGCGCATGCGCGAGCAAAGCAAGCAAGCGCGCAGCCCCATTGCAAACCGGTAGTAAAGGTAAGTAGAACCCACCCCTAGTGCAGATGAGAGACTCGGATGACAGGTGCTCTACACATTGTATCAGGGCTCTCCAACCTTGGCAACTTTAAGCCTGGTGGACTTCAACTGAGAATTCCCTAGCCAGCTTTGCTGGCTGGGGAATTCTGAGAGTTGAAGTCTGCCAGGCTTAAAGTTGCCAAAGTGCGAAACCCCTGCACTGTATGACAACTAACAGCATTTTAACTAGCATCTTGCTGTAAATTTTGAAAAACCCTGTGAGTGAATTATGCCAGAGCTATTAACTTCATTGTCCCTAATCTGATGCCCCCTAAAAACAATAGCGTCATAAAAAAGCATTTCTCAAATTCTGCATTTTACTATGTGTTTACTGTAATACATTCCACAATTGTTCTTCTGAATCTCATCCTGCTCTATGGATGGAAAGGCTGACATTTCAATTCATTTAAATGAGTTCAGAAGAAGGGCTAAATTGAAATACTTTAATTTTTGAGTTTATCAATGGGTTTATGTCAGAAGAAATATTAAACTGAAGGATTTATAGATTTGTAGCTCAATTTCTTCAACATTGTTTTACGATGCTCTTGAGATTTTTGAACAGCAATTCCTTTATCGCTGGTCACAGTGGTAAAAATTTATGGGAATAACATCACAATATAGTTGAAAAGTGTCCAACTACTTTTCCAAATCACTTCTAAGAAAAGTCTTAAGAGTACTGACTAACCTCCATGTCAGCTGAGATAACCCTCTAGAATGAGCATTAAGAATCTGCTGCAAGAAAATTGCTCAAGATACAAAAACAACAGATTGACAGAGATGTTAAAAAATGAGAAGCAGGATGCTGAGATGGTTAAAAGCACCATTCTTGGTAGGAGTAGGGAGGGCTGGGATCTTGTCCTCTCTTAGGCATGGAACCAACAAGGTGACTTTGCATGAACTGTTCTCTCTCAGCCCTGGAAATAAAGACATCTTCTTAAAAGATGTCAGTGGCAAACCATTCCTGAAATATTGCCAAGGAAACTCCATGAACTCTTCAGGAGTCAAGTTTGACTTAAGGCCATCATTCATATCTACCTATCTGCATGCATACACACCAGGGGGTAAAATCCAGCAGGTTCTGACAGGTTCTGGAGAACCGGTAGTGGAAATTTTGAGTAGTTTGGAGAACCGACAAATACCACCTCTGGCTGGTCCCAGAGTGGGAAGGGAATGGAGATTTTGCAGTATCCTTCCCCTGCCATGCCCACCAAGCCACGCCCACCAAGCCACACCACGCCCACCAAGCCATGCCCACAGAACCAGTAGTAAAAAAAAAAATGAATTTCACCACTGATACACCCATACAGTGTACCAGTGAGAAGGGCGGATAGCACCCTTGATTCAATTAACATAAAGGCATCTTGTGATCAAGAATGTAAACCTAAGTTCAGGGAGAATGAAGAAAATAAACCCTAAAAGACTCAAGCCATTAAAAGACAAGTAATATTTTTTTTTCCAATGTGCTCTTTAGAGGTTGAATAATTTAAGGCATTAAAAGGGTTGCAGCTGGTTGCAGCTCATTTGTTGTTTACACATTTAAAAACATTAAGCAGATTCTTGACAAGCTGAGGCTTAATGGTTCTTTCTTCAGCTAATCTATCAGTAGTCCAAGTGGTCTTTTAATGGTGGGAGGACATCTGTCCAGCAGTGGCTGAGAATCTGTCTTTAGCTAGCCTGTGGAGAAATTTCATCTAACAGCTCCATTCTAGAAAAAGTAGACAAACATCAGGCTACAGGACTCACTTTGATATTCATTTGATGTACTGTATGCATGTATGTATCTCTTTCTCTCTGTGTGTATGCATGCATCCATTTCAATAAATGACTCTAAATGGTGAACAATATTAGAAATAAAACAATTACAAAAATTAAAACACATAGCTCCTGAGAGAAGGAAGGAAGGAAGGAAGGAAGGAAGGAAGGAAGGAAGGAAGGAAGGAAGGAAGGAAGGAATAGCAATAGCACTTAGACTTATATACCGCTTCACAGTGCTATCTCTATACCCTCTCTAAGCAGTTTACAGAGTCAACCTGTTGCCCCCAACAATCTGGGTCCTCATTTTACCCACCTTGGAAGGATGGAAGGCTGAGTCAACCTTGAGTCTGGTGAGATTCGATCTGCCAAACTGGTGGCAGCCTGTGATCAGCAGAAATAGTCTGCAGTACTGCACTCTAACTACTGCATCGCAGCTCATAATAAGCCATCATTAATCATATACCCAGGAGCTGAGACCCTTCACATACTTGGGCCCCCCAGGCTCAGATCCAGGCTTTAGTCCATGTGAAAGGCCAGCAGGATTTTTGCTAAAAGATACAAATCTGCCAACTGGAACCAGTTCTAAAATGCTACTTCAGGGAGTCAGAACCATCTTTTCTACCGCAAAATCCTAAACTGAGATGAACTGTAGAAAAACAAACAAACTAAGACATCATGGTTCAGTGGTTGCAATGCAAAATTTTATAGTAGATGATACCTATTAAATTGCACCACCACGAAAAAAGAAAAAATAATGTATCAACATATACACATACTACGTAACATACTACAGTGCAAAAAGGAAAGCTGTATAGAAGGTGTTTGAAAAAATATTTTCCATGGTCAGAAAAACCAGAACTAAAAATAATTTCAGCTACCCAGATCTCATTTAAATATAAAGAATAGTCTATTTATTGAGGTAGCAATTCTGAATTTCTACAGGTTTCTCTGAGCAGCCTCTTCTCATGGATAGTTTAAACCAGGGGTCTCCAACCTTGTCAACTTTAAGACTTGTAGACTTCAACTTCCACAAGCAAAGCTGGCTGAGGAATTCTGGGAGTTGAAGTCCACAAGTTGACAAGGTTGGAGACCCCTGGTTTAAATGACTGTCCAGCATACTATGTTGAGTCAGATAATCTGGGATGTTCTAAAATTCCATGATTCAAGGGGCTTGATTAAAGACAGCTGCTTAGTGCTCACATTTTACAGATGCAACACACCAGTAAGAAGGGGGTTTTGTGTTTCTTTTTTTTTTTAAATGTTAGTGCTTCAGGATAAGGCTTCCCCAGTTGGCATCCTTCATTCATATGTGTTGAAATTCCCAGTCTCATAATTATTAACTGCAGTGAATGAATCTTTACCAGGAGTAATTAAGGTAGTTGTTTCAGATGTCACTGTTTTAATGTAGTTCCATAATTCTTTCTCACTATCTTTGGGTTTATGTAAACAATGTCTGGTATTAAATCTGTCTGAATTCCAGTGCAACACAGCATGTGAATGATGCAGAGGTTCTTCCAAGCTGATCATGATCAAAATTGACCTTCTGTACATAAGACTGCAGTAGATCTCTTCAATGACATTTCTAGGTTAACAACCTCTCTAGCCCTGTAGTTTGCTTCCAAAAGGAGCAATTCAGGGGGGGTGGCACTCTGTCAGTTGTACTTTGCCTCATATTTATTTTTGTTTTAAAAATTCAAGCCCTTTCCCTCCTGTTTATGAATAAATTCAGCTCTCATCAAACAATGATCCTAATGAAAATCTCCAGTATCACTGCTCATGAGTCTATGAAGTTCACAAAACTGGTGTAAACATATCTTTACTGCAGTCTTTTCACAGTATCTGATACTTAAAAGCATAATGTTACAGACCTTAGAAG